TCCCGGTTGATGCTGCCTGCCTTCTGGAGAGTTACCATGGCCTGTGATAAGTCAGCCATCACTTAAAAAGTAACTTAAAAATAACGCATGTTGATTTGTTCTCTTGGACGAGCTTTCAGATTTGAAGACTTACACATTAAAAACAGTCCCCCCCCCTTATCAAAAAGCTCTGGTTTTTTAAGGAGAGAGCTTAAAACAGTTCAGTCCGTGGTTACAGCCCACTTATAAGAGGTAATCCATGAAACAATGTAACAGAAATAAAACTCGGTATATTGTGACATTGACATTAGTCAGCTGAACACTTGCCCCCTAAATAAATGCTGTTTTATCAGATGCTAACACTACTTGCTCATTTTAGGCATTGTTCTATCTCCCCATGAGATCACTGATAAAATTGAGTAATTAAACGTATGTTAGGGTATGTTAGGGGTTAAAGGTAAGAATAAATGAGCCTGAATTGTCAAACCTTGACAGAACATTTTTAATACCTAATCTTCATTCTTTAACCAGACATACTGACCACTTGCTGTTATAACTTTCTGCTCAAGCTTTGGAGAATTTGGAGATAAATAAGGCATCAAATCCATAAGTAGTAGTGGATACTGTTGTGTGGTATCCACAGATTTGAAACAGGCTTGTAAACTAGCTTTAATAGACCAAATCAGTGCAAAGTTATAATGGTATTGAGCATTGGTTGGTAGTTACAGGCGACCCCGAAGCCACTTAACTTGTTGTCTTAGTCTGGGTTACTATTGCTATGATGAAGCTCCATGACCAGAGCAACTTGGGGAGGAAAGGATTTTATTTGTCATAGGCTTCCATATCACTCTTCATCATCAAAGGAAGTCTGGATAGGAACTCAAGCAGAGCAGAGACCTGGAGACAAGCCTTAGAGGGGTGCTGCTTAACTGGCTTGTTCCTGATGGCTTGCCTAGACTGCTTTCTTATTGAACCCAGGATCCCTAAGCCAGGGGTGACACCACCCACAGTCACTACTTAAGGAAATGTTCCATCTTATGGAAGCATTTTCTCAATTGAGTTGCCCTCCTCTCTAATGACTCTAGCTCTGTTAAGTAGTGAAGGGTGACAGATGACTGTGCTGGAAGATAGTGAAAACAGGGACACTGACAACAAGCGTTGGTGGCACACGCCTTTAATCCCAGCACTCAGGAGGCAGAGGCAGTCCCATCTCTGTGAGTTCAAGGCCAGCCTGGTCTCCAGAGCAAGTGCCAGGATAGGCTCCAAAGCTACACAGAGAAACCCTGTCTCGAAAAACAAAACAAAACAAAACAAAAAAAAGACCTTGTGGTGATGAAATGGACGTGCCTGTACTTTACTTACATGAATCTTTCAACTGATTAAATTTATGTCTTTAAATTTTGGTAGGCATTTAACTAAACTCAGCGATGTTCAGTAATCCACCGAACTTACACAGTAAGTGCCTAAGTTAAGGCTTGGATCCAGCTGAGTGAGAACAAGGGGGTGTATGAACATGGGAGGGAAGAAGGGGGAGATGGTGGAATTATATTTTCATTTAAAAAAACATGATCATGCATTAGACCCTGCCTGGGTTCAGGTTGCAGCCCTGGAAAATGACTGGCTAAGTTTGCCTCATTTATTTATTCATCTTTTCCTTCTGAGGTAATAATGTACAAATAGTTACTTGGTGAGGGAGTGGGCTTGTTTGATTGTAAAGTGGGTGGGAGACCAAAGATCAAAAATCATACCGACTGAATAGCCAGTGGGGAGCATTAAGGAAATTTCTTTTGTTTTGCTTGTCTTTTGAATCAGTCTCTCTACACAGCCCCGACAGTCCCCTCACTGTGTAGACCAGGCTGGCCTCAAAAATCACAGGTATCCTCCAGCTTCTGCTTCCCAAGAGCTGGGATTAAAGGCATGTACCACTATGCCAGGCTGAAAAATTTTAAATTATTGCCCCAAATAGCAAAAGTGGGGGGGGGAACCTGTAATAATCAGATTAATATTTTAAATTCTGTTTCAAGGACAAATATATTTTTACTTTATTTAGAAGGTATTCAGCTACATATCTGCAATATGTAATTTTGCATTAAATGTTATCTCATTTTTTTTAGCTCTTTTCTCTGAACTTGATGAAATTTATGTCTGATAAACTTTAAAGCAGTACTTTTGAGCTTGTTTTATGTTCTTGAGTTTTAAAAACAGCTAAGTGAAATTATATTATGAGATTGATTTAGAGAAATTGGCAATATTGTGAACTGTCCTCAAAAGTTCTTTAAAAGCTGGAAGTTACACAGATCCAAATGTGAAACCATTGTGTTGCCAAACTCAGTTTTTGAAACTGTTGAATAGTTAATTAAAAGAATTATCATAACAAATTTTCTCTGGCCCAAGGCAGTTTGAATAATAGAATAGTGTGAGACTTCGGGAGTTGCTCGTTTTGGAAAGACAACGTTTGTGGCAACAGCCTTCAGTTTTTCATAGAAAATTGTTAATGCTCAGTTTCAAGCTGGTACCTGTTCCTTGGCTGTCTAGAAGTCTGTTTCCATTGCTAACTGAATAACAAGCCTGTTGTTATGTGTAGTTGGCCTTGGCAGGATTATATGAAGATGAAGTGAAATGCAAGTCTTCCAAGCCTGACAAATCTACAGCTGCAGCCTTTAAGAGCCCAAGAACATTGCCGCATCGGTGAGTGTTGCCCCCAGACTTCTACCCTCTTTAGCCCACTGAGCCTAAACTATTTTAAATGACCTTGAGGATTTTTAAAATTAATTTTTAAAAAATAGATATGGAGGTACTATTGCAAAATTTTTATAGTTAGCTAAAAGAAATATTTTGAAGAATTACCTTGGTGTCTGATATTATCATAGGCACCATATGCAATCCTTTTTCTCAGACATGATGGCTCTTTAATGTTTGTCCTCGGGCTCACTGAGCTCTGGTGAAATGTGCAGACCCTTCCAAAGCAGCATTCATGTGCAGTCTGTCAGTTGAGGGCCAGCGGGTTTCTCACTGCCATGCACGGGACCTATAGGAGTCTTTAGTCCCCCATTGAAGAATCTGTAAATCCTGAAGTTTCTGTGATGTGATACCTAGTCTAACAGATGACTTCCTGGATGTATTTGTTGTCATTAAGATCTCTGAACTATAAAAACAACAAACTAGAGGTTTAGAAGAATCACATATATTGTTATTGTGAATATTTTTGTTGAGTTTTCTAGTATTACAGTAGAGAGCAAACTTAAATTTTCTTATCTCTCATTCTCAAAAATATAATTTTGTCAAAAGTAGAAAAATTAAGTGGACATTAGGTTTTTGTCACTTCACATTCTTTTTGTAGGGGAGACAAAAATTATATCTTCCTGTACTTGAATGATAAGCAAAATCCTTATAATTTCTCCCTGTATTTTCTTTTAGAAATTATAAAGCCCATAGCAAACGTAAAGGTTAGGAAAATGAATAAACATTAGCTATTTCACTTTTATTCACCAGTTGTTAGTGTGTCAGAGCATTGCCCTCATTCACGCATCCTGGCTCTTTTTTACTCAACTATCTGAAAGCAAATTATACCTTCATGACATCAACTTCTAGATATCTTCCTGTGCATCCCCTAAGAATAAAATATATAACCTAAATAATAAAGTATAACCTGAAAATTAGCAGTGATGACATGATGTCACTTTTTTCAGTCACCTTTGGAGACCCAGCTAGATACTACTCATTGCATTTGAGTTTTCCTGTGTTGAGTTTTGAATGCAGGGCATGCTTGCTTCTTTTTTACCTGTTTTTAGCTCACCTACATAATCTAAACTTTATTGCATAATCTAAACTTTTTAAAGGAACCAAATGTCTCAAAATGTGCCACATTCTAGATCACTGTTTCCTCATAATTAGATTCTTGTTAAACATTTTTGTCAAGAGTACTAGATAAGTGACACTGTCTGCTTTTTATTATGTCACATCAGGAGCCATATAATTCCAAGTTTCCCCACTCTTGGTGATATGCTCACTTGGTTAAGGTGCTGACCACCACATCACTGCATTGTCAGGTACAGTGTGTCTTTGTAATCAGCAGGTTGGTATCTCGGCATGGTTTGACTATACTATCCTTTCACTTAACTCTCACTTGCAAGATGTATGAGTAGATGTAGATGTGTGTAATATTTTAGTTGCCTCCTTAATGTCTATATCCCCCCCTCAAAAAAATATTTTTCAAAGATTTAATGTGTTTCTGTACCTACGTTTTACTCATTCAGTAGTGGAGTATTTAGCCTTTGGCTCCCTAGTTTGAGCTCATGAGAATGACTTAATTTTGCTCTCAGTGCAGTAAACTTAATATTCGAATTTTTACATGATTGACGAATTTTTACATGAGTGACATGACTGTCACCCTCGAGCAGGCAATCCTCCTGCCTCAGCCTCCCAAACATTGAAATTTCCAGAGACTGATAGCACCACCACACCTGGCACACTGGCTTTTTACGCCAACTGCACTGGTTAGTTTTTGTCAGCTTGACACAAGCTCGACTCTAACTTGAAAGATTGCCTCCATCTGACTGGCCTCTAGGCATGTCTGTGGGAGCATTTAATTGATTAATGAATTATGTGGCTGGTCCAGCCCATGTGGGAGGTGCCATCCCTGGGCAGATGGTCTTACTGTATAAGACAGTATGTTGAGTAAACCATAGAGACCAAGTTAGTGAGTAGCATTTCTCCTGCTTCAGTTCCCACCTCCAGGTCCCTGACATTACCCCTCTCAGTAATGGCTAACCCCTGTATAATGTAATAAACCCTTTCCTTCCCTGGTTTGCTTTTGGTCAGTTGAAGCTAAATAAAACACCAACGAACTTTCATTTTCAGAAATATTAGACATAATATTGTCTATGTGTTTAGCCTACGTGAAGTGTGTAATCTGTCGAAAACTTTCAGGACAGTCCGACAGCTTCTTTAACAAATTCACTCATGAGAGGTTGTATACCAGCAGCAGAACTTTGGGCATGTCCTCTACAGATCATTCTTTATGTCAAATTGTACTCAGAATTAAATGACATGAACTGTGTGATATGCTTAGCATGGGCCTTAAACAATTGCTAAAATCTAAGTAAGCCCCGAAGGTCTGGGACAAAGAGGCATGGAAGAAAATGTGATAAAAGGGCAGGAGAGGGCAGAAGGAGAAGCTGCAGAATTAGTGGCCAACAAGAGATGTTGGATAAGTAGAAGCATGGGCGGGTTGAGCCTTGTGGATATATCACAAGTCTCTACACTTAGGCGGCCATGTGCTGGATTAAAGGCTTGGCTCCTTAGTGTATTTTGAGTAAGATAACTTAGATATTCATTTTGTAGTTGGCCCCCATTATTATGTTGCATTCATTTAAAATGTCACTGAAAGGCTAATGTGCATTAACGTTCACTCAGTAAAAAAGAGATGTAGTGACAAGACCTCTGCCTCTAAAAATAGATGTCCCCCATGTGGTACATATGTATATGTGCATGCATGTGTGTGTGTGTGTGTGTGTGTGTGTGTGTGTGTGTGTGTTTTATCCTGTTTTCTCATCTGGAAAATGGGGGTCATTTAGTTATAAGAATTGATGAAAATGTATTTGCCCTTTGATAATATTAACTATTAATCATTTTAGGAAAAAGTATATCCCTTTAGAAAAATAAATGGAAAGTTAGTACGATGGGGGAAAAGAAAGAGGTAACTTAGCTGGGGGTAGTCTAAGGGACAAGAAGTAAAGTTAGGTGATTATGCTGGAATAAAGGAGAGAGGATGGAATTGCTCTCATACTTTCTAAACCTTGGTTATAGAAACTTTATGACAAGGACTACAGGGCATGAGTAGGAAAGAGACAGGTTCAGGACCTGTGGGAGAACTGTGCTTGCTGACGAGATGTATTCAGCAAGGAACTGAGTAGCCTTCATTCATGCAGAACTGCTCAGTGGGTACTTTGTTTTTTAAGGTCTTTACAAACTTTTAAACATCAGTAAGTTAGGGCCAGACATGGTGTCACATATCTATATTCCCAACATTGGGAAGGTAAATGCAGGACCATCAGAAGCTGAAGGTCAGTGTCACCTAGTTCAGTTCAAGGCCAGCCTCATATACATGAGACCATCTCACTCCTGCCCCAACCAACAAGTCAAACAAAGTAAGAAAGAGCTAGGCATGATGGTGTATGCTTATAATACCAGCACATGCATGACTAAGACAGGAAAACCCGTAAGTTTGATGTGTGCTTGAGTTGCATGGTGAGAGAATGGAAGAAAAGAAGCTTTTAAAGGGAGGTGAAGTCATACCTTCGAGTCATTTTTGAGGTTGCAATGGGAGTGGATAAATATTTTACTGATCAGATGAGTTTCACATAAGAGGAGAACAGAAGGCAAGGACACTGACATCTTGTTGTGGAAAAGGGAAGAAAGGAAACTTAGTAAAAACCAAGGCATGGTTGGAACCCCACTGCACAGAGGGACGAATAGTGTTGTTGCCTTTGGGAAAGTCATGAAAAGACAAAGTTCATTGTGAAGTGAGAAAACGGAAGTGGGAAATGTTACTGCAGCAGTTGTAGATGCTCTTGGCCTGTCTCCACAAAAAACAGCTAGAGAACTCATGAAGCACCCATCAAGAGCAGCACGTAAAGTAGTCATGTGAAACCTTATACCAAAGCTGCAGAGGCCTGAGAAACTGACCAGTGAACCAAGACCGGAACGCTGAGTCTCACACCCTTAGAGATGGCTGTTTTGGCTCTGACAACGATGCCACTGCAGAGCAACAGGGAGAGGGAATCTCATGGCATAGTCCAAGGGAAGATGTTAGTATTGGCCTCTCCATCATGCAACATACAATTATCAATTTTGGATAGATTGTAGCTCTGAATATAAAAGTTCAAACAGTGAGGCTGCTTGAAGAAATGCTGCATTACCTTAGGGGAGGCTATAACAGACTGGTAAACTTTTTCTTATGTCCAGTTTTCTCAGGTCTTTGTCCCAAAAACAAAGAGGCAGGATTGTGAACTTTGCCAGCTTGTTAACCTGACTCAAAGAGGGAAGAGGCTATACTGGGGGCAAACATGGCAGGAAGCTTTGCTCTGCTTTCCTCTTTGTCACAGTTACCTGAGGCCATGTGTTAGCCAGTTCCTCCTCTCCAACACTGCACTTAGACAGGCAGGGCATTTCTTTCCTGTTTGCTGCACACTCACACACACACACACACACACACACACACCTTCTCTCTCTCTCTCTCTCTCTCTCTCTCTCTCTCTCTCTCTCTCTCTCTCTCTCTCTCTGTGTTTCAGTATGCAGTGTAAACATGGCAAGAAGCCTTTGTGGGTTGTAGTGTGTCCAGTGACACTGACAGGGTGGTGCCCCTCCCACAGTGTAGTGGGATTCTGCTGAGGTCCACACTTGTGTCCATGGAGATTCTCTTTCACCTGCAGATGAGAACTGCCCGCTTAGGAGAAAACCTGGAAGGGAACCTCTGTTCCTTGTCCAGGGCTGTTGTGTTTCCAATTTTGCTTTGTGAGTTACTGTGAATCCGGAAATGGAGTAAAAGGTGTGGGAAAATAAAAAGTACACTCTTGTCACCATATATTGGAAGTCTCTGTATGCTACTTCATTGATTAAATTTTCTGATATCCTGGGCAGGAAAATCAGTCATGAACAATTAGAATATTAGTCTTAGGTGAATGGAAACTTATGTTTTGTAGCCATTATGAAGATAGAGTCAGGGCAGATCTTAATTACTACACAAGGAGTACATGAAGTTATTCACAGTGGGAATTGTTATGCAGTAGGTCTTTCTACCCGAAGAATAAACCTTCATTGTGTAGCCATATGGGGCAGGAATAGCCTCTGGTTGTTGAGAGTGCTACCCACCACAGGTGAAGAGCTTGGTCTGTGAAAATAGGAAGCCATAAGCAGTCATCCAGGGCTGAGGGCGGAAACAAGGCCTTCATTTGCCCATGTTGGGTGCTGAAGTTGTCAGACTCTCCACAAACTCAGAAGGGATACAAACTATCCCCTATTTTATCTTTGCCTGAATTCCATTTTAAAGTTAAGTGTGTATAAAGAACTCAGGCATTCTTTATTTATGAATAAAAGTTACTTCATATGATGATGTAGCTTCTTAGAGTAGTTTATGACTTTTCTGAGTTTTTATTTATGAGCTGTGATGTTTAAAGGCTTTGTTCAGGTGAACAGGAATATGGTGGATTACATATAGTTCAACCTCCAACTGGGAAAATTGTGAATGAACTTTTCAAAGAGGCAAGGGAACATGGGGCCGTCCCTCTAAACGAAGCCACAAGATCTTCAAGTGATGACAAACCTAAGGTCAGTGCTGTCTTAAAACTGTACTGTTTCTGGGAAGTTGAGAGGTACTTGGACATGTGTCTTGGTAAAGCCTTTGCAATCTTTTTGGCACCCATTGTTGAGAATGACTGTTCTCCACGAAACTTCAGTTTCAGTATTTGGCAGCAGCTAGAAAACTTCCGTCCATGTAGCCTTGAGGTCATTTTAACATTTCCATGTTCCCCAATTCTGTAAGAAAAGTGTGGAACTGATTTAGTCTGTGGAACAAAGGCAGGTTGTAATTTAAAGTGCATTTGTGATGCAAATGGTAATGAAATGAATAGCTATTTCCCCTCATATTGTCCTACCTGAAGACTGTGTATTCAGTAGAGCAAGATCAAAAGTGTGACTGACTATAGCTGACTTGATATAGTTAATATCATTGTGCTGAGAGCTGACTTACTGTACCTTAGAAAACAGCTTGAAATGGAGGCCATCACAGGAAGCCACAGTTTGACATAGTGCAGAGATCAACAGGTCATGGGGAAGCCCAGCCTCAACAGATACGTCTGCATCACAGCTCCTGCATCTATGGCTCAGGGAATATCTCGGAAGAGGGGGCGGAAGAGCTGTAAGAGCCAGAACACCAGGAAGTCAGCTGTGTAACAGTCTCCTGGAAATGGCTGCATAAACAAGACTGGAAGTTTCAATGGACATGTTAACATGGAAGGGGGGAAATTATATGTGGTCACTGAACCCCTAAGAACTACAGCACCAAAAAAACATTCATTATGAGATATGTATTTACATACATGTGTGTATATAACAATAATGAAAAAGAGGCTGCCAACTTGAGAGTGGGTGTGTGGGAGGGGCTGGATAGGGAAAGTGATATAATTTCTATTTCAATTAAAAACATTAAAAAAATCTAAAGCCTATAAAATACATATAGAATTCTTTGTTTTAACATTTATTTCATATGTGTATTCATGTACACATATATCCACAACCCACATGTGGCAGTTAGAGGACAACTTGCATGAGTTTGTTCTCTTCTTCTACCATGTGGCTTTTGGGATCAAACTAAGTTATTTCACATTCTGAGTTACTAATGTTTATGTGAAAAGACATTTAACTTCTCACATACACTTGTTTATAACTTAAGGTCTTTATTCCAATCTATTTTCCTAGTCAGTATGAATCTGGCCAATAATTTTTTGTCTAGTTTTGAAATGTCAAGTGTATGAATAACATTTTGACCATAAGCCTTGGTGAACTCTTAACCCATTTATCATGTATTTCAGTCATTTACAGGTGGAGGATACAGATTGGGCAGTTCTTTCTGTAAGCGGTCAGAGTATATCTATGGAGAAAATCAGCTGCAAGATGTAGGTACAATCACCAAAATGTTTAAGCCTTCATTTCTAGTTGATACTGCTTTCCGCCTTTTTGAATTAATAGTTGACACTATGAATACAGTCTCTCACATTAGTTGTTAAAGCATGAGTTAAAGGACCTGTGTGCTTTCAGTCGCAGTATTTCT